TTATACCAGCTGCCATCAGAAGGTAACACCCACATTTAGGGCATGTCTTCCGGCTTCAGATGATCCAATCAAGAAGATCTATTTCATTTCAGTTAATCCCAGATCCAGTCAAGTTGACACCCAGGATTAGTCATCATCACAGTCTCCAATTTTTTTCATTGATGTTTTATGAGTTTCCATGTTCACGTCTTCACCTCCACTTCATCTCCATGGTTAAATTTATCTCCAAGTACTTGAAACTTTTTGATGGTTTGTGTTTCTTTAGCATGTTAATTTCCCCTTCTGAAACAATTCTCTTTCTCCCCAAAGCATACCTTTTAATTTTTTTTTATTTTGAAGAAAGGGTCTCATGTAGCCCATACTGGCCTCAAACTCAAAATGTAGCCAAGAATGACCTTGAACTTCTGATCTTCTTGCTTCCACCTCCTACATGCTAGGATTATATGTGTGTACCACTGCCATGCCTGGTTTATTCCATGCTGGGGATCAAACATAGGGCTTCACGGATGCTAGGCAAGCATTCTACCAACTAAACTACATCTTTAGTCTCCAAAGCATCTCTTTCAAAATTCCTTTTATGATACTTTGTTGGTATTAAACTCTCTCAGGTCTTATATATCTGATGGAATTTGATGTGTCTTGGAAAGGAACCGTCAGAATTTGTTGGTGATTGGAATAGAGGGTACTGTTGAGATCAGGCTATGCCCTATGCTAAACTACTCCATATTGTATATATAATACAGAGCTTTTTAGGCTGTGCTTTGCCCCAGGACACTCCATTTTGAGGGAGAAGGATGATTGCAACCCTTGGGTGAACCCAGAAACTTCTCCATCTGTCAGGCACCACCCATCCAGCACGGACTGATAAATAAATGATTTAGTCTTGGGGGGTAGAAATGCAGCCATTTTATGTTTATTGGCATAAATTAACACTGTGCAGGCACAGGGCATATTAAAATTATGCCAAGGAAATCATGCCTAAGAGTTTATTAGACATGACAAATCAAGGAAAAGTTGTAATTCCCTCAACCTGGACCCTGTAGGGTGGCATGGCCCCATACCAACCTATCATCTGATACCTAGCGTACCTGTGTGTGTGTGTGTGTGTGTGTGTGTGTGTGTGTGTAGGACTGACAAACAGAGGACTTACTGTCTCTGGAACTTCAGCTTGGCTCAGTCCCCTGCTGTCGATGTAGCCTACTCTACTATCTGCCTGTCTAGATTTTCGCCCATCTGGACATGGACTTGAACCCATTTCCTGTTCCTGGACTCAGGTGGGCCTTCTACCTCAAAGCTGGACTCCGCAGCTTCACTCTTAAACCCTGACTCCAGCAGCTCCAGCCACAGCTTTCGCCCAGCCCT